CCTTAGTTCTTTCAGCTTGAGAAATGCCAAGCGTGTTCTTCCCCTTTAGTTTTCTAACTCCAGGTCTTTGCACATTTCATTATAGTAATTGACTTTGTCTGCTGGAGCTGCTCTTTGAAATCTTCTGTTCAGCTCCTTTATCTAGTCATTTCTTCCATTTGCTTTAGCTACTCTTCACTCAGGGAGCTCTGGTAGCGTAGTGCTTAAGGCACTTGACTGCTAACCAGAAAGCTGGGGTTCAAACCCACCAGCCACTCCTCGGAAGATGGGGCAATCTACTTCCGTAGTGATATTGCCTTGGAAACCCAAGGAGGGGTCGCTATGAGTCGGGTCCCACTCAATGGCACATAACAACAACTCTTCGCTCAAGGGCAAGTTTCAGAGTCTCTTCTGACATCCATTTTGGTCTTTGTTTCCTTTGTCATATTTTTAATGACCTCTTGCTTTCTTCATGGATGATGCTCTTGTTGTCATCCCACAGTTCTTCTGGTTTTTGATCACTGGTGTTCAATGCATCAAATCTATTCTTTAGATGGTCTCTAAATTCAGGAGGGATATATTCAAGGTCATATTTTCATTCTCGTGGACTTGTTTTGTCTTCAACTTCCAAGTTGAACTTGCATATGAGCAGCTGATGGTCTTTTCCACAATCAGCTCCTGGCCTTATTTTGGCTGAAGATATTGAGCTTTTCCATCTCTTCCTGCCTCAGATGTAGTCAATCTGATTCCTGTGTACTCCATCTAGTGACGTCCATGTGTATAGCTGCCATTTGTGTTGTTGAAAAAAGGTATTTGCAATGAATAAGTTGTTGGTCTTGCAAAATTCTATCACGCGATCTCCAGCATTATTTCTATCACCAAGGCCAAATTTTCCAAGTACCAGTAATTCTTTTTTACCTTTTGCATTCCAATAACCAGTGATAAGCAACACATCTTGATTGCATGTTCAGTTAATTTCAGACTGCAGAAGTTGATAAAAATCTTCAACTTCCTCATCTTTGGCTTTGGTGGTTGGTGTGTAAATTTGAATAATACAGTTTTAACAGGTCTTCCTTGTAGACGTATGGATATTATCCTATCACTGACAGCACTGTACTTTGGAACAGATCTTGAAACATCCTTTGTGATGATGAATGCCATGCCATTCCTCTTCAATTTGTCATTCCCAGTGTTCTAGTTACCTAGTGCCACTCTGGCAAGAATATACCACAAATGAGATGGCCTTAACAAACAGGGGTTTATTCTCTTACAGCTTGGAGGCTTTAAGTCCAAGTTCAAAGTGCCAGGATCTAGGGATAGGTGAAAGCCTCTCAACCCTGGGGACCAGCTCTGCCTCCAGCTCCCATGCCCACTGAAGCTAGAGGCTTTTCTTCATTCAGACAGCTGCTGGCTGCTGAGGCTGAGAAGCCCCAAGGTTGACAAGTAAAAAGGCACAGTCCTACTATTACCAAATCACACAGGAAGCCATTAATTCAAGTACATTGTAAGTCCCAAGATCGGCAGAGTATGGCAGGCTGCTGAACAACACAGGTACATGTAGGGTTCAAGGTGCCATAAGCTACAGACATTACCCAAGGCTCTGCTTATATGCAGGAATCAGCCCACATTCCCTAAGGCAGCTACTCAGCAGATTACACCATGGAGCTCATTACCAGTTTCATCATGGGGAATATTACATCCAGCTGCCCAGCCACTCAACCAGGCCCAACCAAGTTGACACACAAGCTGAACTACCACACCCGGCATAGTAGATTATGTGGTTTTCTGATTCAAAATGGCCAAAACTCATCCATTTCAGCTCACTTAATGCCTAGGATATCAATCTTTATGCATTCCATTTCATTTTTGACAACTTCCAATTCTCCTAGATTCATACTTGGTACATTCAATGTTCTGATTATTAATGGATGCTTGCAGCTGTTTCTACTCAATTTGAATTGTGCCATGTCAGCACATGGAGGTCCTGAAAGACTTACCTTATCCCTATCATTAAGATTGGTTCTACTCTGATGAGGCAGCTCTTTCCCAGTCTTATTTTGAGTGCCTTTCAACCCAAGGGGCTCATCTTCCTACACTGTATCAGACAATGTTTCCAAGCTATTCATAAAGTTGCCCAGTAATGTATCAGACAGTATTTCTCTGCTATTCATAAGGTTTTCCCTGGCCAATTTTTGAGTAGATGGCCTTCTCTTTCTTCCTAGTCTTAGTCTGTAAGCTGCACTGAAACCTGTACACCATGTGCAACCCGCTGGTGTCTGACACAGTGGCACAGCCTCAAGCCTCACAACAACATATAAGCCCCACAGGATGACAAACTGACAGACAAGTTTGTCTTCCCTTAGTTGTTGGAAACCTCTGCGCCCTCCCCTGACCTAATTCCTACCTGGAACCTGCCACTTTGTGGTGCCCGGCTGCTCCCTCCCTTTCCTGGCTCTAGGGGGCTGGGGCCTGCCTTGCCTCCTGCCCCTTTTCACCTGGATATCCTGCAACTCCTGAGGTCCCTGGCCTCTCTTGCTCCCTCCCTCTCCTCACTCTATGGGGTTTGGGGCCTAACCTTGCCTCCCATCCCTTTAACTGGATATCCTGCTGCTCCTGAGGTCCCTAGCCTCTCATGTATTTTATGTGCTGCAAATACATCCATGAATATAGTAGAGCACTTAGGGGGCAACATTATGAAAGCTCTTCATCTGTAAACAAACACTTGAGGGTAATGAGTCACTGGGCCTTGGGGCTCAGGACCATAGTCTCAGGGAACATTAATGTTGTTCTGGTTATCCAGTGCCACTCTGACAGGAATATATCACAAATGGGATGCTTGAACAAACAGGAGTTTATTCTCTTACAGTTTGGAGGCTTTAAGTCTGAATTCAAAGTGCCAGACTCTAGGGGCTGGGTGAAAGCCCTTGACCTTGGGGTTCAGCTCTGCCTCCTGTTCCCAGCCCACTGGAACTAGAGACTTTTCTTCACTCAGACAGCTGCTAGCTGCTGAGGCTGAGAAAACCTAAGGTTGACAAGTAAAAAGGCACAGTCCCAATGTTACCAAACCACACGGCAGGCCATTAAGTCAAGTCCACTGAAAGTCCCAAGGTCAGCAGGCTGCTGAGCAATGACATGGCTACATGCAGGGCTCAAGAGTGCCATAAGCTAGAGACCATTTCCAAGGCTTCTCCTTATATACAGGAACCAGACCACGTCCCTAAGGCAGCTACTCAGCTACTTGTGGTAGATCCCACCATGGAGCTGATTACCAGTCTCACCATAGGGAATAACTACTACCAGCTGCCCGCCACTCAACCAGGCCCAGCCAAGTTGACACACAGACTTAACTACCACAAAGGTCAACTGGCACAACACAGTCCAGAAAGAAAGTTCTACATTCTACTTTGGTGAGTAACAACTAAGTTCTTAAAAGCTTGTGAGCGGCCATCTAAAGTACAACTATTGGTCTCTCCCCATCCACAGCAAAGAAGACTGAATAAAATCAAAGACACATGGAAACAATTAGTCCAAAGGACTGACGGACCATGCAAAATCCACCTCCACGACCCTGAGCCCAGAATAACTAGATTTTACCTGGCTACCACTGCTGATCACTCTGAAAGGAACCATAATAGGAGATCCTAGATAGAGTAGGGGAAAAAATGTGCAATAAAAACTCAAAAGCATTAAAAAAAAGACTAGGCTTCTGGTCTGGTAGACTGGTGGAACCCCAAGACACCCTTCAAGCCAGGAAGTGAACTCACTACCATGGCTCATCTTTCAGCCAAACAATGGACAGACCAAACAGGTGAACAATAATACCAGGGAGGTATACACTTATTAGAACAATCAAACGTAGGATGTCAAAAGAGTAGTATTTGGGAGTTAGTGGAAAGAGTGTTGTTGTTACATTGTGGGGACTGTAATCAATGTCACAAAACAAAATGTGTATGAACTATTGAATGGAAAACCAATTTGCTCTTAAACTTTCATCCAAATTATAATTAAAAAAAAGATGTGTGAGAAATAACTCTGTATGGGTTCTTCTCTGTCTCTCTCTCTCTCTCTCTCTCTAGTTTGTACCAGTTGCTATCAAGTCAATGCCAACTCATGGAGACCCCTTCTGTGTCAGAGTAGAACTGTGCTCCACAGAATTTCCAATAGCTGTGACCTTTTGAAAGTATATCACCAGGCCTTTCTTCTGAAGTGCCACTGGGTGGACTCAACCCACCAGCCTTTCAGTTAGCAGCCAAGAGCTTAAATATTTATGCCACCCAGCGGCTCCTTTAGTTTAATATTCATTAAAAGCATTAACTGAAATTGAAAGGCAAGATCATCAAAGGAAAATATACTATACTACATTTAATAAATGAACACTAAAGACAACATTAAAAACTTAGATCCTGCCCCTTGACTCCATAATTCGATCAAGGGAATGGTAATGATGTGACACAAGAGAAGGCTTGCATATGCTGATGTTTCCCAATTGCAGTCCTGTGCTCTGGTCGTGCCATGAGAAGAACAAGCCCAAGACGGCTGCCAGGCCTAGATCAAGAGATCCCCAGCTCATCTCAAAGACTTGTGGCCTAAAATATGCTTACTGTTGTATGCCGCTGAGATTTTTGTGGCTGGATAATAAAATCTGACTATGTTCATGTAATGGAATACTATATATCAGTGAGCATGAGCAAACTATAACTAAAAACTAAAATAGGGACAGATCTTACACACAGTATTAAGCAACAGAAGCCAAACACGAAAGGGTACATGGCATGTTTCCAATTATGTGAAGTTCAAAAACAGGAAAACCTAATATTTGGTATTAGAATCTTAAAGTTAGGGTAGTGACTGAAAGAAGCTTCTGGGATTCCAGTACACTCCGTTTCTCAATTTATATACAGGTTCCATGGATAGGTTCATTTGGTGAAACTTAATCAAGCTGTACACTTCTGATTTTCTATACATATATTTCATATTTAAATAAACAGTTTACATATTACTTGTGAAAAAGAAAAACTTACTGAGGTATGGGGACATAGAAGGGCAGTTTTCAAGGTCTACTTTTTTCACAGGAGCTTTATTAGTCGGAGTTTCTTCCTTCTCCAAAACCGTGGCCTTGTTGAAGTTAGTCATGAAATTCCTTGCTTTAGGAATCTCATGAATAGCATCCACAAAGTAGTTACTGGTGGCCCATCCAACCACCGTCAGGCATAAGGTAAAGACTAACAGTAAGCGGACTCTGTAGGAAAGGTGGAAATTCAGGTTGAAGCCCATGTCTCTTATTATGTGAGCTTATATATCTCACTGCCCCAGTGCAGGCTGAAAGTTTCTTTAAGTTAAACTCTTCCAATCTGAAGACAAAATCGATGACAACTGAAGATGCAATGCCTGCTTTTGCTCAGTAGTCCTGCTCCAACAATCTCTAAAAGACAATGACAAAAGACATTTTGTTTCAAATGGAAATCTTACCCGAAATTATTCACTGCACAAATTGAAAACCTGTCCCTATAATAGACCCTAAGAGAAATGCCAGTTTTCTATCTACGGTTTAGAAATCAAAAAAAACTAGAGATTCTAGAGGGAGAAGGTTCCAACCGCCTCCAAAACCAAAAACCAAACTCACTGCCATAGAGTCAGATCCAACTCATAGCGACCCCATCTTGGGTTTCTGAGGCGTTATCTCTATGGAAGTAGATTGCCTAATCTTCTTCTAAGGAGTGGCTGGTGGGTTTAACCTAGTGCAGCACTAGTGCCTAAGGCAACTGACTGCTAACCAGAAGGCTGGAGGTTCAAACCCAACAGCCACTTCTCAGAAGGAAGATTGGGCAATCTACTTCCATAGTGATACTACCTCAGAAACCCAGGCAAGATTTGCTATGAGTCGGATCTGACTCAACTGACAGTAAGTTTGGTTTTAATAATTGTACTAGGAGTACCGATATTCCTGGGGGACATTTTTTTTTCTTTTTCCTTTAAGAAATTTTTAAATACTATAGTTCTAACTTTTTATAATGAAAACAAAGTTTTTATTGGTTATTTTTAATGAGAAATGTGAAGGTGGTAACTATGAAAAGGAAAAACAACAAAAAGCAGTCTTAGCAACTCTATTAACAGTTTCATACTTACTGAGAGGTTGCAATTGTTGAGCGTCATGAAGCTCTTTTCAACTCATAACAACTCTGTGTGACAGAGTAAAACTGCCCCAATAGTCTTCCAGCCTGTAATCTTTTTTTTTTTATTGTGATTTGGGTGAAAGTTTACAGAGCAAATTCACTTTCCATATATCAGTTCACAAACACTTTGTCTCATGACATTGACTACAATTTACCACAATGCAACAGCTCCCCTCCCACTTCCTTCTTATAGTTACCTCTTCCCTATGTCCATCCCTCCATGTACTCCTGCCCCCTGAGCTATCTCCCTATGCATACACAGCCCTTCTATTCTCCCAAGACTGTTCTCTCCAAGGAGTGTATCTAGCTAGCATAAATGTTCACCTCGTATACCTGTCTTTTATTTGCCTGGAAGCCACTTGTGTGGGTTCAATTCCAGACCTGAAGGGCAGCTAGGGGCCATAGTCTCAGTGGCTCCATCAACCTCTATCAGACCAGCAAACCTGGTCCCTTTTTCTTTTTTTTTATCCAAGTGATTTTGAGTTTTGTTCCACATTTTCTCCAACTCTATTCAGGATCTCTTACATAGATCTCCCTTTGAGTGGTTGACAGTGGTAGCCAGGCACCATCTAGTTCTTCTGGTCTCATACTTGTATAGGCTGAGGATCGCATAGTGTACCAGTCACTTGGACTAATTTTTGCCATGAATTCTTCATTCTTCTTTGCTCTGGACGAGAAGAGACCCATCGTTGCATCTAGATGGCTACTTGCAAGCTTTTAAGATCCCAGTTGCTAAGTAGGAGGCAGAACAATGTTTTGTGTAGTATGTTATGCCAATTGAGCTTGATGTTCCCTGTGACTATGGTCCCAAGCCCACAGGTCCAACCACTTGTTCCCTCTGGGAAGCTGGCTGTGCCCAAGAAGTGACTACAACCTTGTCCCTTGTCAGCTCTACAATACAGCTGGGAATTCTTACAGAACATAGCCATACACTTGTAGAAACATTGTCTGCCAACCCTACATATGGCCAGACTGTAATCTTTATGGACCACCACTAAGCTGTCAGTTTGTCATACTGTGGTGGCCTGTGTGTTTCTATCTGCCTGGAACACCAGTATATCAAATACCAGCAGGGTCACCCATGGTGGACAGGTTTCAGCAGCACTTCCAGACTAAAAGAGACTCAGAAGAAGGGGTCATCTACTTCTCAAAGAATTGGCCAGTGAAAACCTTATGAATAGCAATGAAACACTTCTGATATATTACTGGAAAACTTGATGAATAGCCCTGAAAAACAGACCAATATAGTGCTGGACGATGAGCCCCTCAGATCAGAAGGCACTCAAAATACAACTTGGGAAGAGCTGCCCCCTCAGAGTAGAGACAACCTTAATGATGTGGATGGAGTAAAGCTTTTGGGACCTCCATTTGCTGATAAGACACAATTCCAAATGGGAAGAAACAGCTGCAAACATCCATTAATAATCAGAACATGGAATGTACAAAATATGAATCTAGGAAAACTGAAAGTTGGCAAAAATGAAATGGAACACATAAAGATAGATATCCTAGGTTGAAATGGACTGGTTTTGGCCATTTTGAATCAGACACCATATGATCTACTATGCCGGGAATGACAAATTGAAGAGGAACAGTATGGCATTCATCATCACAAAGAATGTTCCAAGATCTATCCTGAAGTACAATGCTGCCAGTGACAGGATAATATCCATATGCCTACAAGGAAGACCAGTTAATACTACTGTTGTTCAAATTTACACACCAACCACCAAAGCCAAAGACAAGGGAACTAAAGATTTTTACCAACTTCTGCAGTCTGAAATTGACCAAACACACAACCAAAGATGTGTTGATTATCACTGGTGATTGGAATGCAAAAGTTGGATACAAAGAAGAATCACTGGTAGTTGGAAAATATGTCCTTGGTGATAGAAATAATGCTGGACATTGCATGATAGATGCTGCAAGACCAAAGACTTATTCATTGCAAATACCATTTTTCAACAACACAAACAACAGCTATATATGTGGACTTCACCAGATGGAGTACACAGGAATCAGATCAACTACATCTGTGGAAAGAGGTGATAGAGTCAGCCAAAACAAGGCCAAGAGCTGACTGTGGAACAGACTATCAATTGCTCATATGCAAGTTCAAGTTGAACCTGAAGACAATCAAGAAGTCCATGAAAGCCAAAATATGACCTTGATTATATCCCTCCTGAATTTAGAGACCACCTGAATAGATTTGATGCACTAAACACCAATGACCAAAAACCAAATTGTGGAATGACATCCAGAACATCATACACAAAGAAAGCAAAAGGTCATTAAAAAGACAGGAAAGGAAGGAAAGACCAAAACAGATGTCAGAAGAGACTCTGAAACTTGCCCTTGAATGGAGAGCAGCTAAAGCAAATGGAAGAAATGACAAGATAAAAGAGCTAAACAGAAGATTTCAAAGAGCAGCTCAAGAAGACAGTCAATTATTATAATGAAATGTGCAAAGACCTGTAATTAGAAAACCAAAAGGGAAAAACATGTTCAGCAATTCTCAAGCTGAAAGAACTGAAGAAAAAATTCTTGCCTCGAGTTGCAATGCTGAAAGTTTCTATGGGGAAAATACTGAATGAAGCAGGAAACATCAAAAGAAAATAGAAGGAATACAGTCACTGTACCAAAAGAAGTGGTCGATGTTCATCCATTTAAAAAAAAAAAAAAAAACCAAACTCACTGCTGTGGAGTCGGATCCAACTCATAGCGATCCCTCCTTGAGTTTCCAAGGCAGTATGACTATGGAAATAGATTGCCCAACCTTCCTTCCAAGGAGTGGCTGGGGGGTTTGAACTGCCAGCCTTCTGGTTAGCATCAAATGCCTTAGGCATTATGCCACCAGAGCTCCTTCAGCCATTTTCAGGAGGCAGCATATGATCAAGAACCAATGGTATTGAAGGAAGAAGTTGAAGCTGCACTGAAGGAACTGGCGAAGAACAAGGCTCCAGGAATTGGTGGAATATCCATTGCGATGTTTCAACAAACAGATTCCGAGCTGGAGGCATTCACTTGTCTATACCAAGAAATGTGGAAGACAGCTACCTGGCCAACTGAGTGGAAGAGATCCATATCCATACCCATTCCAAAGAAAGGTGATCCCACAGAATGTGGAAATTATCAAACATCATTAATATTACATGCAAGTAAAATCTTACTGAAGTTAATTCAAAAACAGGTGCAGCAGTTCATTGACAGAGAACTTCCAGAAATGCAAGCTGGATTCAGAAGGGGACATGGAGCGAGGGATATCATTGCTGATGTCAGATGGATCCTGGCTGAAAGCAAAGAATACCAGAAAGGTGTTTATTTGTGTTCTATTGACTATGCAAAGGCATTCGATCATGTGGACCATATCAAATTGTGGATAACGCTGAAAAGAACAGGAATTCCAGAACATTTCATTATACTCACAAGGAACCTGTCCATAGACCAGGAGGCTGTCGTTCGAACAGAAAAAGGGAACACTGCATGGTTTAAAATCAAGAAGGGAGTGCATCAGGATTGAATCCTTTCACCATACTTACTCAATCTGTATGCTGTGCAAATAATCCGAGAAGCTGGACTATATGAAGAAGGTGCCATCAGGATCAGAGGAAGGCTCATTAACAACCTGCGATATACAGACAACACAACTTTGGTTGCTGAAAGTGAGGATAACTTGAAGCATTTACTGATGAAGATTAAAGACTTCAGTCTGCAATATGGATTACATCTCAACATAAAGAAAACAAAAATCCTTACAATAAGCAGCATCACGGTAAATGGAGAAAAGATTGAAGTTGCTAAAGATTTCATATTACTTGGTTCCACAGTGAACACCAACAGAAGCAGCAGTCAAGACATCAGACAAAGTAATACATTGGGCAAATCTTTTGCAAAAGACCTTTCAAGGGATGCAGGGCAAAGATGTCTCCTTGAAGACTAAAGTGTGCCTAACCCAAGCCATGGTATTTTCAATCGCCTCATACGCATGCGAGAGCTGGACAATGAACAAGGGAGACTGAAAAAGGGTTCATGTTTTTGAGTTGTACTGTTGGTGAAGCACAACTAAAAGTACCACAGACTGCCAAAAGAACAAACAAATCTGTCCTGGAAGAAGTGCAGCCACAATGCTCCTTGCAAGCAAGAATGGCCAGACTTTGTCTCACTTACTTTGGTTATGTTGTCAGAAGGGCCCATTCCCTGGAGAAGGATATCATGCTTGATAAAGTGGAGGGTCAGTGAAAAGGCGG